CACCAGCCGCCGCCGCAGCTTCTCCGACTACCCCTCGCCATCACATGATGTGGAGCAGTCTCGTAGCAACTTTCCGCCGGGCAGGCCTGGAGCAACGCCACGACGTCACAGCCAGACGAAGCACTCGAGCTCGGATGCGCCGTCTGATTCGGATGGCGGGAACGCGAGCCCGGATACCAAACGTCGGCCGCAGAGCCACGAATCGATGCGCCCCCCGCCCACCATTCGCCGCATGGCTCCCAAGAACTCACAGGTCCCTCCATCACCGGCCGTCACCGCGACAGCACAAAATCTCCATCCTCACCGAGCCGAGACGAGAGCAGATGAGACGCGCAAGCGCACGCTACCCATCCCAGAGGTTATCAGGGACAAGTTTGACAAGGTCACCTCTTTTCTTTGCTTTTGTAGTCGATCGCCCGATCGGCACCGTTTGCGGGTCAGGTCGGCGGAGCGACTTGTGAACGAGACCGCGAGCGTGAACGGGAACGCGAGCGCGAGCGAGAAAGGGAACGCGAACTGTTAGCTGCACGTAGGAAGCGTGATCAGATGGCGCGCGCCAACGGGGGCGTCCGGGCTCAGTCGCAGCTTGGTCTGATAAAAGATTCCGATGAGTCGGACGCCGCCTCTGACGAGAGCGCCGTCGAGAGGCGCCGACGCCAGCGGCTTCGAGAGAATCGTGACAGGGAACGGGACGAGTATCAACGCGACCGCGAGAGGGCTGACCGTGTCCGCGAACGCGAGAGAGAGCGGGAGCGAGACCCCGGCAGAGATCGCGGCCGCGAGAAGGAATGGGAACGGCAGCGCGAACGCGAGCGGGAAGACGAGCGTGAGATGCGTAAGCGGGCCGCCGCGGTACATCCCGCGCCCCGAGGCCCAGCGCCGGACCAAGCAGCCACGCCGACGTTGATCGCATGCGGGATGAGCTATGGGACCCTCGCGACCGGGGATTTCAGGGACGACAGGAAAAGGTGGAACGAGCGAGAGCGGGCCCGTGGAGCCCCAATGACTGGGTTGTGTGGGGGCGGCGATACCCCCCTGAGCCTGCCTGAAAGCTGAGCTTCCCAGCCCGCCTCCCCCCGGCTGGGGGTCCCGCCGGCCGAGGCATCCACGGATGACTCTCCCCCGAGAGAGGATTTATGCCCCTTTGATCTTAGCAACTTCTTCCCCC